GACACGTTGCACTTCACTTGAAGCCTGCTGATATACCAGCCAAAAGAATTGTGAGGGCCTGGATTCTTTCTTAATACAATAGTCATGGTTCACTAGTTAGAATCTGTACAGAATTAGCCAGAGACACGGACGAATGGAAAAACATACTTAGAGGCTGAAAAATAGCCCTTTTTCATGGCTTAGTCATTAAAAAACCTCATCAATACAGCACTCGAGGAGTTTTTCTATGTCTACTAATCTAAAAAATGATCACAAAATAGTACACCGCAAATAAAGACAAGAAATGTCGCAGCAGTGCTTTTGCCTGGAATTTAGGAGTTAGCAAAAACTCAGGTCAGTGTTTCCATGCAAGTGCTTTCCTCCAGAGATTTTGGGTGCAAACTTCATCTTCACAGCTAAAGCAGCAGAAAGCAGAATTAGTACAATGAGCTGTGACGCATCTTGTTCCATTTTTCCAATTTCTGCCTCAAACAGCCATACCTGACAGCTGGAACCAGCACCACCCACTGAATCCAACAAAAGTGGTCTGGAAATACATCAGCACAGACACAAAATGTGCTAATTAACGGGAATGTGATCAACATGAAAAGCCTGAGTGGTGTTTCACTGCATCACAAGCTGTCCCTCCTGCAAGTCAACTCAGCCTTCAGACTGTTGTTCATCCCCACAGGATCCAACTGCCATCCACATAAAATCAATAAGGATAGAACAGGAGACGTAATGGAGTCTCTGGCACCTTTCCCATTTCAGGGCAAAGTCCTGCTGAGAAGGGGTTTCTTTTTACTCGACTTCAGGCTTAAACTTTTTGTCGTCGTTGCTTGGGTAGCTGAAAGGTTTTCAAAGAGAAAACGAGGCATCAGTGCCTGCTGGTGAATGTGCCATGTGTCTGGGAGTTAAAATCCAACACACTAGCATGGAGTCCGAGAGCTGGAGGTTCCTGCCCACATCTGAGCTCTCTGGAACATGAAAAAAGAGTTCTGGAAGTACAGAAAGCAAGTGGGGCCCACACCAAGGCTGTGTCAACCATTTCAAGCAGACAACTCCTACTCTACTGCCTTCCTATGCAGATCTTGACAGAAAAATAAATGATAAATGTGGGGGGGAGGTGATTCATGTTGTGTAAAACTATAGGAGAAGTTACATGAGTATTCTTTGTAAAAGAGGAGAGCAAGAACATATTAGTATCCCATGGGAAATGAGAGGAGAGATGCTATAGGATTCTTTGAAAAAACAGTATAAGAGGTGATACACTCAGCCTAGGGAAGGTTCAAGATTTAAAAGAAACTTGCTAGGAAGTTTTAAAACAAAATCTGTTGGGGTGAGGGTGAGCCATCCTGTCCTGCATTACAGACAACCAGAACTAATGGTTCTAAGAAAGTCTGTTCTGTTGAAAAGAGTTTGAACTCTGGCTGGCGCAGCTCCAGAGGAGCTCCTCTTCTCCACATGCAAGTATGGAATCACAGAATCATTAAGGTTGGAAAAAACGTCCATGATCATCGAGTCCACCCTGTGCCCGATGCCCACCTTGTCCCCAGCCCAGAGCACTGAGTGCCACGGCCAGGCCTTCCTTGGGCACCTCCAGGGATGGGGACTCCAAACCTCCCTGAGCAGCCCCTTCCAATGCCTGATCACCCTTTCCAGGAAGAAATTCTTCCTGATGTCCAACCTGAGCCTCCCCTGGTACCGCTTGAGGCTGTGTCCTCTTTTTCTGTCACTCATTGCCCAGGAGCAGAGCCCGACCCCACCCCCACCCCCCACCCCCTGGCTCCCCCCCTCCTGTCAGGGAGTTGCAGAGCCAGAAGGTTCCCCCCTGAGCCTCCTTTTCTCCAGGCTGAGCCTCCCCAGCTCCCTCAGCTGCTCCTGCTGCTCCAGACCCTTCCCCAGCTTCATTCTCTTCTCTGGACATGCTCCAGCCTCTCAATGTCCTTCTTAAAGTGAGAGGCCCAGAACTGGACACAGCACTGGCCGTGCCCTCTGCATGGCTTCTTCCACTACACACCAGGGAAAGAGCAATTTTGAAGAAAAATAGTTGTACTTATTCATCTGAGATTCCCAGTCCTGTCTCTGGGTTGTCTGATGGCCACCTGCTGAAAACCTAACCCATATCTAACTCCTAGTCTGCGAGGAATCTTCCTAATTCCATACACAACTCAAGCTGGGTATACAGTTAAGAAAACTGATGCTACAAGCTCTGAACATACTAAAAGTTTAATTCCATCAGAGAAATACAGCAATTATTTTGAAGCTTTCTGGCTTCATTCAACCTCCTCTATTCTTTTATACATTTATTTACTGGAAAGAAAGGAGAAGAGAGCGTGAGGGGAGAAGGGAGGGAAGGAACCCTGGGACAACACATGCTGGGCTGTAAAATGCAAGGAAGGTTTTTCAAAACTGCACGTTCTAAACATCACCTTGGAGTTACACAACAATAAATACTCAATATTGCACTGCAAGGGTCTAATTGCCAAGTAACTATAGCAATGGAGAGAAAAGCCTTTTTTTGGACACATTTCCTCCTGCCTTAATTTTTCCCTGGGGTGGGAAGGGGTGCAGAGAATGCGCTCTAGATTCTTAATGGATAACGTTTTCCAGAGCCCCCTCTGATCACTCAGTGACTGTGGGATTTAAAAGCAGTAGAGTGATTTCTCCAAAGAAAGCTGAACGTTCAAAACAATTACCCTGAACTACTCCATCCCCTTGGAAAGGGTTTAACGCACCAGGTTCTGAGGTGAGGCTGTCAGGATACACTGAGACACAGCAGTGACCCTCTATGAAGCACCTTGCTCACCACCGCTTCCTTCATCCCAAAAAACAGAGCTTTCCAGGGAGCCCAAAAGCCTGAAAATGAGTAAGTGTGAAGTGAGACTACACTGGCCTGCACTGAACATTTGTTTTTGCTAAGAGAAGACCACATTTCTGTGTTGGTTTTAAACACTGCCCTCAGGAATTTAATTTTGGGGATGAAAATTCAAGAATTATTTGGAGTCTTCAAGTTATCTTTCCTCTCTTGATATTTTCCAGAGCTGTTTGGAAATGGGAGGGTGGAGCTGGCACCACTGGGGCAGTGGTTTCAGAAAACACTTCTGTCTTCATTCAGGGAAAAACCTGCTGGATCATGTTGATATTTTTATAAGTAACTCGATGCATGGTTCTATTTTGGATACCAACTATGCAGCAACGCAGACTGATTTGAGCAAATTGCAGGGGGAGGAAGAGAAAATGAAGATCCCCTTAGAGAACAAGAATTGCCTTCTCCAGGGAAACCTCTTGAACCTCCAAGGGCTCAGTTTAACCATGTGCCTTTCAAAAAAAAGTTTTAAAAGCAGCCATTTATATTTATAACTAAGTAAAAATAAAAGGTAGTTGTGGTTGTTCAGTGACATGTGAAGAAGTTGAACTAAACCAATTAAAGGTAAAAATCTTCCATGTTTACTCCAGATCAAGACCAATTATGCTTTTATGACAAATGAAAGACCTCAAAAAACACAACTTAATAAAATTGTGCCAACTTCAGGGACTTTTCACTTCTATTTGTTGCCTTAGTCTGTAATTGACTTGTTAAAGAACTTCCAGTTTTATGAAGCAGCAGAGCCTCCTCCACCTTGATAAAGAAAACTGCCAGCACTTAAAACAAGTAACCACAGATAAAAATTGTCTCACAGTGTGAATGGGAACATTAGTACTTGAAAAACACGCTGTGTTTTTTCACAAGGCTTCTAGAGAATGCCTTCCAGCCAGCCTACACAACATTTGCAACATAAAATTCATTATAGTAGCTTTGGAGACATTCACACTTATGCTCCTGGCTCCACAAAGCTGTAGCACAGTTCAGGGTGGGCCAACATCCCATAAATAATTGGGAACCCTTCCCACAAACTCTAAAATTAGGGGAAAAAAATAGTGTGTGTATATATATATGTATATGGAAGAAATCCTTCCCTGTGAGGGTGGTGAGGCCCTGGCACAGGCTGCCCAGAGAACCTGTGGCTGCCCCAGCCCTGGAAGTGTCCAAGGCCAGGTTGGACGGGGCTTGGAGCAACCTGGGCTAGTGGAAGGTGTCCCTGCCCATGGCAGGGGGTGGCACTGGATGAGCTTTAAGGTCCCTTCCAACCCAAACCATCCCATGATTTTGTAATTCTAATTATCAACTTCTTGTATGGAGTAACTTCTTGAATATGACAGAATGATCTTGTTAACATTATTCAGCTCCTTTTCCCAAATAAACAGGATGATAGGGGGCCTGGGTTGCTCATAAAATGAGGTGATTTCTGGGACATCAACAGGGATTGACAACAGCTGTTTTTTCACAAGCCTGGACCTCATTTCAAGGCCTGATGAGGCCAGACAGCACAGATCACAGAATCGTTGGTGTTGGAAGGGACTTCTGGAGATCCCCCAGTCCAACCCCACTGCCAAGGCCGGGTCACCTGGAGCAGGCAACACAGGAACGTGTTCAGGTGGGTTTGGAATGTCTCCAGAAAGGGAGAATCCAGGCCCTCCCTGGGCAGCTGTTCCAGTGCTATGCCACCCTCAGCATAAAGTTCTTCCTCATCTTGAGGTGATGCAGGACCTCTGCCAGGAAAAACTTACACGGGAATGTGTCCAGTGGATGTACCCAACCCTGCAGTGAGAGACTTTGTCCTGCAGCACAGGTGGGTTCTTACCACGGCTGAGGCGAGAACGCTGAGGGCAGCGGAGCGGCCGCTGTGGGCCCAACGCGGGGACCTGCGAGGAGATGGGAATGCTGCCATAGCCTGAGGGAGACGAGGGCTAACAAGGACACAATGGGAACTCTAGACGGAAAGATGGTGCCCAGGACGGGCTGGGGCGGGGCCGAGCCGGGCCCTACGGGGCAAACGGCGTTTTGGGCCGAATCCTACGGGGAAAAGGGGGATTTTGGGCCGGGCCCAAGGTCGGGCGCTGTGGCCGTGACGCCCACCCGCCGGTAACCATGGCAACGGCGGCGGGGAACTCTCGCGAGATCTGCCACCGCGAGCAAGCGGCGGTGCCTCGGGTCTCGCGAGAGTTGTGCGGGGGAGGAGGCGAGGGGACGGGCAAGATGGCGTCGGAGGGCGACCTGGGCAGGAAGTGGGACCGGTGTGTGGCGGACTCGGCCGTGAAGCTGGGTAAGGGCGGCGTGGGCTCGACGGGGCGGGGAAGAGCGGCGGCGGCCGCCCGGGCGCTCCGAAGCTGCGGGAGCGGCCCCCCGCGCGTCCCCGCGGCGCGGGGCCCGGTGTCCTCCGGCGGCCCGGGCTCGCCTCAGGGCGGCTGTGGCCCCGGACGGGGCGCGGGGGGCGCGGAGGATCCGCCCTCAGCGCTGCCCCCGCGGTCGGGCAGAGCCGGGGACCCCGGGCCCGGCAAGGTGACCTTGGCCGCGGACTCGGACCCCCGGCGGGCCCGCTCCCGGCTCAGCGCAGCCCGGGCGTGCTCGACCTCTGGGTACTCACTGAGTTGAAGAGGTTTCCGTGCGGAATGTGGGACGGCTCCCGCCCGGAATGAATGAGCCCCGGGCAGGCACAGCTGGTCCTGCCGTGCAGCGACCTTGCCTGCCTTCGGCTCCGCTGCGGCCGTGGGTTTGTGCTCGGTCCGTGCAGAGCTGTTCACATCACTCAGTGCACCAGGGAGGCTGTGTTTATTAAAAGCAATAGGCAGCGTGACACGCGGAGAGCTCTGGCACGTGTTACTGGGTACAGTGTGTGGACTGTGACATTGAGAAGCTCCGTCCATATCCCAGCCGTGGGACTGCAGTTCTGCCTTTTCTTTAAGTAGGGGACCAGTTCTGTTGTTTTTTCCGGTTTTATTTGTCCTTAAAGTTCGGGCTGTGCACACGCCTGTAGCGCTTCAGGTCTGCAACAAAACATTTGTAAGGTTTCACTGAGTCCTACGAGTTTTACCAATGATGGTGACTGTGAGCTCGGTGCTCACCCTGTGACCGGCTGCCAAGTGACACCAGGCAGAGCTTCTGCCTTCACAAAATGTGTTTACAAACCCAAATCTTTAATTCAACGTATAGAGCAAGAAGTGCAGCGTCTGACACGCAAGGTATTCATTCCATGTTGGTGCAGATGTCTCTTTTACAACCATAAGTAATATCTGGGAAACGTGAATGTTTATTACTTCTTGTTCTAGTGGTCTTGTGCTTGAAAGCTGATGAGGAACTCAGGGGTTTTAGTTGCCTAATACTTTTCCATTAGAAAAGATGTTTAATAATTTTAAGTAAACTGAAACTCCCATTGTTTATAACAGACCTTTGGAAAGTGTCAAGTGCTCCAGAGCAGTGTTTTCCCTTATGAAATTCTATTCAGGTTTGTCTGACAAACATATCCAAATATGTTTATATTTCCATAGCATTGGTTGCTTTATCATAAAATATTAAGTATGCCAGATTATAAACAAAAGCTTGTTCCATGCTGCAGCTGTACATGTAGGAATTCTGTACATCCTCTCTCCTGGAGGCTGAAAGAAGCGAATACAGGGTTGACTTCCCAGAATTCCAGACTGATTTGGGTTGGAAGGGACCTTAAAGCTCATCCAGTGCCACCCCCTGCCATGGGCAGGGACACCTTCCACTAGCCCAGGTTGCTCCAAGCACCGTCCAACCTGGCCTTGGACACTTCCAGGGCTGGGGCAGCCACAGGTTCTCTGGACAGCCTGTGCCAGGGCCTCACCACCCTCACAGGGAAGAATTTATCCCTAGTATCCAATCTAAATCTACTCTCTGATCAGTTTGAAGCCATTCCACCTTGTTCTGTTACTTCAGGCCCTTGTCAAAAGTCTCTCTCCACCTTACCTGTCGGCTCCTTCAGATACTGGGAGGCCACAATTAGGTCACCCTGGAACCTTCTCTTCTCCAGGCTGAAGAATCCCAGTTCTCTCACCCTTTCCTCCCAGCAATGCTGCTCCATCCCTCTGATCCTCTTGGTGCCTCTTCTGGACTGGCTCCAGCAGCTCCATGTCCTTCCTGTGCTGGGCCCCCAGGGCTGGATGCAGCTCTGCAGGGGGGTCCCACCTGAGGGGGCAGAGGGGCAGAATCCCCCCCTCCCCTGCTGCCCACACTGGGGGATCAGCCCAGGACACATCCAGGGCATGTCCAGCCTCTCACCCACCAGCACCCCCAAGTCCTTCTCCCAGGGCTGTTCTTCATTGTGTCGTTCCCCAGCCCAGGTGCAGGACCAGCACTTGTTCTTGTTGAACCTCATGAGATTCCCATGGGCCACTGCTTGAGCTTGTTCAGGTCCTCTCGGATGGCCCTGTCCTTCAGGTGTGTCTGCACCACTCAGATTGGTGTCACCTGCACTTGATGCAGCCAGTGCCTTCAGCAAGCCTTGCTATTTAATTTGGTGTTTTCTTCCATCCTAAAATGGCAGCAGAAGAAAGGGAATATACTTTGCCTCGTGCTTGCGTACTCTAGGCCAAGGATTGGTTCCCAGTGTTGGCTTCACAGTGGCATTGAGTAAAGATTCATGTTTTTCATTAGATTGCCTAAAAAGGTCAAGTGCACTGTGACATGCATTGTGATTAGCAGCTCTTTAATTTATTACCAAACCCACTGTGATGGGCTGGGACACTCTTTGTGAGCGAGAGCATTTTTCTGGTTTGTGTGCTTTTACAATTGATCAGTAACTGAAACATCTGTGCTGACAACCTCCTCCTTGGCATTACCAGCAAATGACTTGGGATGAACTTGGGAAGTCAGAGCAACCCCAAAATTGCTTCATACTCCAGTAGTTTGTGACTGAAGATGATGATGGCCTTTAAATGTGAAGTGACTCAGTGCCCAAGCTGTGTGCTGACAACATAGATTTTCCCAGGCTATCCCAGTAGGAATGATTGTTTGCTCTGCAGGGACATTAAAACCTTGCGTGGTTGTGATGATTGGTTTTGTAATATTACTGCAAAGTTTGCTGGAGTTTCCAATAAACTGCCAAGGGAGGTTGTTATACTGGAAAGAAAAAAAAAATAAACTTGAGAATTTAGTTAGTTGTTACCTGGGATATGAGATTTGGTAAACTTTGTACTTTTTTGTCAGAATTTCCCTTTTTGTGGCCACAGTTTCCTTCCCAAATGCTCCTTTACATCCTGAGTGCTACAGCCAGGGAGATCTTTCCAGCCAGTGGATGGGGAAAAACAAACATTGTGATTAGCTGTGTGTTTTCCCATTCCAAACTCTCTAAATAAACGGAAGCACTGAATTTCTGAAGCCTTGCATGTGGGACACTTCCCAGAGTCCATGAGAACTCTGAACAGATAACTCCTGTGAATTAGTTTGAGGGCTAGAGGGACATGGGAAACAGAAGAGAGGGATGTAGAGCTCTTGGGCTGGCTTTATTAGCAATAATCTGCTTTTAAATATTAGTCCTTCAGGATTCCCACTATGCCGGTGTTTGTAGTTAGCTGTGTTTGTAGTTGTGCTGCACTGTTTTAGTTGGAGATGGAGCTTCTGGAAAAAACTTGATCTCCTGCCACTAAAACGTCCAAAATAAATATTTATCTTGTGTTCCATCCTTTGAAATGCTGCATTATGTTTTTGAGCTCTTAGTCGCTACCTGTGTGTGTCTTGTAATTTGGTGTGAACTTTTTCCTGTTAGTTCCAAACAGAGAATGCTGTCAGGCATTGTTAAGGCAGTATTTCATTTCAAAGAGTAAGTAAAGGTCTTTATGCCTGCACAAAACATTGAGCTATTGTTAAATGGAGTTTAGGTGCTCACCTCCCTTTTGTTAGGACTGATATTTATTTGATGGGTCTTGGTGGTTTTGTTCCCCTTCCATTCCAAATGTAGCTGTGAGCAGTGTGTGTGTAAAGGGGCTGGGTTGTGCTTTCTTGGCTGACCAGGAGGTTTCCGATGGGTGATCCAGGTCGTGCTGGCTGTGGCTTTGCGCTATTCCTAAGTCTTTTCACCCGCGCAGTCATTTAAATAATTTAACTTTCTGTTCCCTCTTTCATCCTGATACTGACTTTTCCATACAGAAAAGCTATGTGTTACTTTTTTACAGAAAAGTTGCTTGTTCATGTGTGGGGAAGAAGAATCAAACTGCAGTGACTTTCTTTTTCTTCCCAGCCTGCAGACCTTTCTAAACTCCTGTATCTGCCCCGGGCTTCACAGCCATTTCTTCTTTCTCATCAGTAGAGCTGTGCAGAGGAGGGACGGTGAAGTAGGTAGTGTTGTGCTCTTCCTCCATCCTGCAGGCTCCAAACCCTGTTCAAAGGGTCGGTTTGTTTGTTTGACTGATTGATAGTTCACATCTGTTTATTTGGAAAGACAATTACTCACAAAAGACTGACAGCTGTTTTTTGCTGCGAGGCTGTAATTTTGGACAAATTATTATTATAAGCTGTTTCCAGGGGACAGAGAGGCAATAAAGAGTATGAGCAGTAGGGAGGGAGGTTTGTGTGCCTGCATGTCTTGGTTTGTTTTGAAGCTGTTGTAGTTTTAAATGAGTTGAGCACTGTAATTTCGCTGTTACTGAAAGGTAATCCTAGGAAAGCTGCTTGTTTCTTGACCTCTTGAGTGTGAAGTTGCTGTGTTGAAGTTCATTTTTTTTTTTTCAGGAGAGAAATGTTTTGATGTATGTCTGTGCCTGACCAAAATGCAGCCTGGAAGCTTGTAAATAACCCAGTTGTAGCGATGTTCATTTTCCTCTAATCCTCTGTTTTGACATCTGCAAATAAAACGCTTCTAATTTCCATGTAATAGGGATTTTTTTAAGAGAAAAGGGCACTTTGAATTCTTCTGCGACTGTTAACATGATTTTTTTCTGGCCTGCATCATCTAGCCTGCTTGAATAGCTGTTCTGTTAATGGCAAGGGTGAAATTGTATTGTTTGAGTCATTCCACAGATTGGATGTTTCAGAAAGAATCATTGTATGGATTGCAATGTCAGTGTTTTTAAATAATCCTTCACATGGTTATGAATAGGATAAAGTCAGTCTATATAATGATAAAACTTGATTATACTTTCTGAAAACCGGATTAGACTTTATCTAAATATACAAAAATCCTGACATTCCTGTTTTGAAGTGTTTTTTTGCTTGGCAATTGTAATGTGACCATCCAGTCTTAGCTACTGGGTCAAAAGGCTTGTTCTTCCTTTGGTGTTTTGTTTTTAGTAGTGGAGAACATGGATA